GCCTCATTCAGGACGTTATTTATGTGGACCGAGGCAGGCCCACACAGCAGGTGGGCGTGGACTACAAGTTTTCAGTGCTGCGCATGCGCGCAGGGGGATAAACCCAATAGCGATAGCCTTAAAGGGCTGTGCCTGTACTCAGAATCTGGGGTTACAGTATGTAACCAACGTTTTGTTGACATGNTATTTAACCTCAGATAAAAAAAACAACAACAGAGCAGCATAAAAATAAAACAACCTCGGTCCACAGTAAACTGTAAAGTTTTTATCTTTTTGTCACAAAGACATAAACACACGTCAGASACCGCACACACAGCTGAGGAGAATAAAATGTGTGATTTACCTAAGAAACATTTTCATTCTCACTAAGAAAAAACTTCAGACTCCTCCCCTGCGATGATTCCTCAGGTCCACAAGATGCAGAGAATCTGAGGAGAAAAACACAGGCTGGCCATATTTGCTTCTATTTTACATATTTAAATGGAGGCGTGTCAGGGGGGAGGAGCCTCAGGTGTGCTCAGTACCACGTTTTTTGGGAAGGGAAGGTGCACAGTTTTATACATCTTAATGTTTTTGTGCMGTGCTCTTTCCAAAAWTTMTTCCTGCYCCAACTTTRAGTGGGAAAGCTGTGTACTCTTTTATACATGAGGCCCCAGATGGTTGACTGGAGTCCTGWTTGYGTTTCTTGACTGCTTTGAGGAAAGCCCAYTCAGGATAACCACACTGCTCCAGGGCCTGTCTTGTGTATGATTTCTCCTTCTCCCTGGCTCCTGGGTTTGTGGGGACCCTGTCTGCTCTGTGGTCCTGATGACTCCTAACTTGTGTTCCAGTGGGTGATGGGAGTCAAAACACCAAATGCTGGTCTGTGTGGGTGGGTTTGTGATACACATCAGTGTTCAGCCGTCCTCCATCACAGACTGAGACGTCACAGTCCAGGAACGCCAACCTGACATCTTTTACTGTATGTTCAGGGCTGCCATTTATTCCTTTTCTTCTAGATTATTCTTTAGTTTTGACATCRCTCCACATTTCTGCAATGCGAATTTTAGACATAAAATATTACCTGATAGTGTTTTTGTGTTTCTTAGCCCATAAAATTGAATCCAAATGAGGTAACAAAATACACAGCTTGYGCTTTGAACCGGCACTACAGATGCACTGGCTCGTGCTCCCTAGTGGCTTAACCTTTTACAACAATGAATAAAATAAAAAAATTTAAACTTTTATACTAAAAAATACATCATTGTGTCTCCATGTGGTTCAGTTTGAGCTGATTCCTTCCACTTGTTTGAGCCGGTTCGGATGTTATCAGTCCATTAAATGGACGTTATTAGCGGTTATCAGTCCCATAGAATGGCTTCAGACTGTCCCGACAGTGCCCCCTAGTGGGTTACCAGTGCCATCTATGTTGGAATGCAACAATCTGCTACCGCCGGAGTCTGGTCTACTTTATCGTTGCCCATGTCATTTTCTCTAAAATTAACCTTAGTGGTTTTATGCCTCATATTAACCAGCTGACAGTCTGAAGCCATTCTATGGGACGAAGAACCCACTAGGTGGCACAGTCGGGACAGTCTGAAGCCATTCTATGGGACTGATAAAGGTTAATAAAGTCCATTTAATAGATGATAACATCCGAAGCTGGTGCTCTCATGCTAGAAGAACAAAAAGAGTTTATTGAAATAACTTGAAAACAAATAGGAGAGTTTAAATGTAAAGGAAACATTGACTTTGACTAAATCTATAGCGATAATAAAAGAAAAAAATCTGACAAAACTGTTTTGAAGTAAATATGAGCAACATGCTAGGTCATAAAGTCTAACAGCTGGAGAGGTCCCACATCCAGTGTGCCAGCTGAACACTTTTCATTTATTTTATTGACATTAAAATGATTTAATAAAGTCAGTAATTACTTCTAACATAGTTTAGTTTTTCTGCTTGTGTGTAGATGGTGCTGGATCCCCGGCTGGCTGCCGTCATGGTGTCCCTCCTCTGCGAGCCAGCTGCAGGCTGCAGGAGAGCAGATGCTGCGATGTAAGAAGCATCACTTGGTTTTCTGTATTATAGACACAGTTTATATCAGTAGATCATGAATATCAGTACATCACTTATCACACTGTCATTGAAGGCCCCGTGCTTTGAAATAAAATACACAAATGATACGCTAAAATGTTCGTTTTTATCAAGAACGTTGTGTTGTGTCATCAGCGTAGACAAAACTTAAAAACAACGCCAAGAAAAAGGAAGGAGATGAGTGGGATTTTAGACAAATGAAAGAGGAAGCTCGGCCCTCTGCTGAGCTCTGCAGCTCAGACTAACTTCACATCAGAACCAATCCTACACCGTCTAATGTCTCTGCTCCTCTGCAGGTGTCTCAGCTGATTTTACCAAACAGTTTGTCTCCATCTCTAATGGCAACCAGCTGTGGACGCTGACCTTCAGCAATGAAAGTGTTAAAGATAAAACCCCCATGGTTCTGCTGCACGGGTTTGGATGTGGTGTGGGCCTTTGGGCCCAGAACCTGGATGCTCTTTCGCAGCACCGGCCTGTTTTTGCTCTGGACTTACTGGGTTTCGGGCAGAGCACCAGACCTCTTTTCCCCACAGACCCAGAGGAAGCAGAGAGTCAATTTGTGGAGTCCATTGAACAGTGGAGGGCCAAAGTGGGCCTTGAGTCCATGGTCCTGTTGGGCCACAACCTGGGAGGCTTCCTGGCTGTGTCCTATTCTATTCAACACCCAGACAGGTGAGTGCAGATGGTATGGTGTAATAGTGATTTTAAAGGTTTGCCAGCTTCTGTTTTCAACTGATTTCCTGCTTCCGTGTTTGGTTGGGCTCCAGAAAAAGACTTCCAGGAATATTTTCCAGTTTATTTACAAACAAGTCACTTAGACACCAACATGCGAAACTCAGACACTAACTGGCAGAGAGGGAAAAACGACTGATCKGTAAGGCTGGGTGATATTGGTTTAAAAAAATCGTCATGATTATTAATGATTAATATGATGGTTAGGCTGGTTGCGTACTGTAACCTCAGATTCTATGAGTATAGGCGCAGCCCTTTAATATTTGGGCCTCCCTGGCTCCCGTAGCTGAAGAAAAAAAGCCATAAGGGAGTCGAGCCTCATTCAGGACGMTATTTATGTGGACCGAGGCAGGCCCACACAGCAGGTGGGCGTGGACTACAAGTTTTCAGTGCTGCGCAGGGGGATAAACCCAATAGCGATAGCCTTAAAGGGCTGTGCCTGTACTCAGAATCTGGGGTTACAGTACGTAACCAACGTTTTGTTGACATGACTCAATGCATAGCAATGGCACCTGTGCGGCGCACGATAAGTCACATGATGTTAGTGCTGGGCAGTATACCGTTTTGTACTGAAAACCGTTTTTTAAATTTTTTTATGATATGACTTTTCTGAATACCGCTGTAAATAGCCTGAACACGTGCGGAACGTTTCGTCACGGCCYCCAGTGAACTGTTTCCCTGGGGACATGTTTCCTCGCAGCACCGCTAAGCGCATTAGCATGCTAAAGTAACTGTTGGAACAACTGGTGGCGGGTGGTGTGTTTCAGCTGCTTATGMGGTCTGATGTAAAAAAAGAAAAACATCCCGTTTTCACCATCGCTGAATAGTAAACAACTCTTCAGTGTCGTGCACTGTTAGATTTAKCGCTCTACGTTAWAATGGAGACGTTATTGCATGGAGACTCGAGCGTGCTTCTATTGTGAAAAGCCCGGGGGGGAAGTAGTTTTGTAGTGTAGTGGAATTGACTGGTGCGCAAAGTGAGTCGTTCTTTTAAGTTTTATTAACATGTAACAGTAGACCAGATAATGATTTTTTCTCAACCCTTCACGATCGGACCTAAATGCATGATTACTGTCTACAACCAGGCAAAGAAGAAAAGACGTACAAGAGGAGGGAAACAGTGATACAGAGGTACAGTAACAGAAAAAAGTCAATAAACAAAGTTTGTACATTTTATTATCAGCTGAGCTGTGAGGGAAAAAAATACCGTCAAATACCGTGAAACCGGTGTAATTGTTGGAAATACCGTGATATAATATTTGGGTCATACRGCCCAGCTCTACGTGATGTCCAATCCAGTAATATAGATCAATGGTTACAACTGTGTTCCATCATCTTTCCTTTTAACAACACTCAGTAAGTGTTTGTGAACTGAGGACACTGATTGTTGAAGCTTTGTTGGTGGAATTCTTTCCATTGTTGCTTGATGAACAGCTTCAGTTGCTCAACAGTCCTCTGTTGTTGTACTTTGTGCTTCATWAMGCTCCACACATTTTCAGGGGGAGACAGGTATGGACTGCTGGCAGGCCAGATTTGCACTGTTTTACTACAAAGCTGCACTGTAGTAAGAGCAGAATGTGTCGTCATTTTCTTGCTGAAATTAGCAGAACGTCCCTGAAAAAAACATGTCTTTGATGGCAGCATGTGTTGCTCCAAAACCGGTCTGTAGCTTTCAGCATTAATGGAGCCTTCACAGATGTGACAGTTACCCATGCCATAGGCACTAATGCACCCCTGTACCATCAGAGAGGCTGGATTTTGAACTTTGAGCTGGTAACYATCCAGACAATTTCTCTTTGGTCTGTAGAACACCATGTCCATGAAACAATTAGAAATGTGGACTCATCAGACCACAGGACACTTTCCCACTTTGAATCTCTCCATCTCAGATGAGCTCAGGTCCAGAGAAGCTGKCGGTGTTTCTGGGTGTTGTAGATATATGGCTTTGGCRTTGCATGATAGAGCTTTAACTTGTAGATGTAGAGATMAACTTTTTTCTGAAGTGTTCCTGAGCCCATGTGCTAAAGCTGTATCTGTTACAGAATGATGATTTTTTTAATGCCGTGCTGTCTGAGGGGTCAAAGGTCACATGCATTCAATGTTAGTTTTCAGCCTCGCTACTTATTTGCAGAGATTTGTCCAGATTTTCTGAATCTTTGATGACATTATGATTTGTAGATGATGAAATCCCTATATTATTTGCAACTGTACATTGAGAAAAAGTGTTCTTAAACTGATCGTGATCAACCAATCATGACAATCACCTGTTTCCAATGAACCTGTTCACCTGTGGAATGCTGCAAACAGGTATTCCTCAACTTTCCCAGTRTTTTGTTCCTCTGTCCCAACCTTTGGAGCGTGTTGCAGGCATCAAATTCAAAATGAGTGAATGTTTGCAAAAATCCAATAAAGTTCATTCATTTGAACATTAAACATCTTGTCTTTGTAGTGGATTCAATTGAATATAGGTTGAAAAGGATTTAGAAATTATTGTATTCTGTTTTCATTTGTGTTTTACACAACATCCTAACTTCATTGGAAATGGGGTTTTACCAGCTGTGTGAGGGATTTCAGCCCATCAAATTTAGCTTGCCTGTTTTTTTTTTTTTGTAAATTTTGTTTTGTATTTAATTGCCRATACTGTAAATGCTGACAGACCAATGTCCTTATGGCTTTCAGGCTCTATCTGTCCTAAACTCTCAGCTCTTCTGATTCTCTGCTTCCAGCAGAAGTTTAATAAAATGTCCTCTCGTCTTTRATCTCTCTTCACTGACAGTAAAGCTGAAAAATTCCCTCTCCTTGAGCTTCTTCTTCCATGAAGCAGCTCTGTTGTCCTCCATCCATATTTTCAGTTKCAGMCTGAGTCATTTTTACCTTCTCTCTGTCAACTCTCTCTGGTTTCATTTAAAAGAGTCGATCGTCAGATATTGTCCAAGATTATAACCTTCAGGGTGGATATAGCTCGCTAGCAGCCTCGCACCAAGGACCTATCCACGTCGTCATTTACCCAGAATGCTTTGTGTGTAAATAAAATGGATCCGTCCGTGTTAAAATATATTTTTCAAAATTTACAAAACTAAACAGCCTCCAGTATTTTTACAGTCTTTATTTTACAGTTAAAATAAATGTTTATCAAATAAAGTCTAATGTTACAACTAATCAGGGATCCCTTTAAAACAAGTTAATCTGAGACACACCTCAGAAAAGGGGCGGGGCTTGTGGAGCTACAATAAGGAGGAATTCAGACCAAAGTTGCAGTTCCGCTTTATATAGACCCCAACCGAATGATTTAAATGTGAAAAAGAATTTTAAAGCATCATATYTCTACTTTAAACCTAGTATCAGGACAACCTTCTCCCATCCTGCCATTATAGAGTGAAACGCATCATCCTGGTGGAACCCTGGGGTTTTCCTGAGAGTCAGGGCACAGTAGACACTGACCGCCCCATCCCAGTTTGGATCAAAGCCCTCGGTGCCATGTTCAGTCCCTTTAACCCCTTGGCTGGCCTGAGACTGGTAGGACCTCTGGGTAAGTAGAGCATCAAGCTGGTTGAAGACAACACATTTAACACGACTAATATCAGTTTGTGAGGGGGGAAAAGGGAGTTCACACACACAGTAGTACAGTATAAGCAACATTTTGACCTGTGTGAATAGTGTTCGGTTGCAGTTAATCATCATTTAATCCAGAAGGAATGAATGRGAGTTTYAGTCAAACTGGTGSTTCTGTGCAACAAAGCAGCTTTGTTTCTTACATGTTTATATTTAACACCTGTGGTTCCATCAGGCCCCATTCTGGTTCAGACCCTGAGGCCTGATTTCAAGAGGAAGTTCTCTGCTATGTTCACAGACAACACTGTGCCAGAGTACATCTATCACCTCAATGTGCAGTCCCCAAGGTCTGGTTCTCTCTGRTTCTTCTTCATGTTTTCATATCCAGRCTCTTTATCACCACTTCCCTTAAAAGAAATATAAACATAGCTGCAGCTCATGAGAGGCTTTCTATTCATCATCATGTCCTGTCAGTTTGTGTCTCACCTCGTCCGTCCTGTAGGCACCTAATTGTTTCTCTGTACGGTCACAGTGGGGAAACGGCTTTTAAGAACATGACRGGTCCGTTCGGCTTGGCGAAGAAGCCGATGCTGCGGAGGATAAACCAGCTGCAGCCCGACATCCCCATCACCATCATCTACGGCTCGCGCTCGAGCGTGGACTGCGACTCAGGCAGCACCATCAGAGACATGAGGCCAGACTCTCACGTGGACATCATAGTGAGTCYTTTTTACGTCTCACAGTTGTACAGTTTTACAACCACCAAATTCATCATTTTTTTTCATTAATATAAGCTGTATTATCAGATCCGTTAGGATTCCCAGCTTCTGAAATGTGTCCCTGGGCACAACGCCGAACCCCTACAGCCAAGATACGCTTATCTGAGATGGGAAAAGTGCTGCACAGTGTCGTTAAATACATTCATACCCTTAAACTTTTCCACATTTTGTCTTGTTCCAGCCACAAAGTTATTATTTCACTGTGATTTCATGCGATAGACCAACACATAGTGGAGCATAATGGTAAAACTCAAATCTAATGCAACCAATTTCTTTCTGATGTCGTCTAATTTAGTAAAGAGAGTAGTAGCGCAGCGTAACAGTCGTTTCTAGATGTGTATTTAATTGGACATTAACTAACTAGCTAACTAGCTAACCTTACTTTTAATATCTTTATTTTTTTACAAACTGTGTGTAATTCAWTCTCAYTATAAATCCAGCTGTTTTGTGAAGTGCTCGGGATGMTTATAAAACAGTAGTGATCAAACATCATCARGAAGACCAAGTAATTAGGMAATAGGTTTCTCAGCATCTGGAGAATCTAAGCTGAGCTGCTTTCTCTTCATGTTTGACCTTTTTTAATTTTTAACAATCTGCTTCTCTTTGTTCTCCTGTCAGACGATTCGAGGAGCCGGACACTACGTGTACGCCGACCAGCCTGAAGACTTCAACCACAAAGTCCTACAAGTGTGTGAGAAGGTGGACTGAAAGGYGAGATGAACTGGAAGCACACAACCTACCTGACATCAGTTTTCAGCTGCTGCAAAACCTCAGGATCCAACTAACCCAAAGACAAAAGAAGGACGGTGTGGAGATGAGAACATTAGGAGATGTGACTCACAGTGAGGCTCACGTCTGACCATCTGAGCAGTGACTCCATGAAAACAGGCTCAGAGCTGACATCATGGTTCAGGTCAGTGGTTCTGAGCAGCAGATTTATCAGAAATCACTGTTTGAGTCAACATTTCATGAGTCAGGCAATCAGACTAATATTTCAGCCTCTGGAGTTTGTTGTGATTATACTTTATTTTAATGTGTTTCACTTTATTTTAACTAAGAGTGTAATGAAACATTGTATGAAACGAGGATGAGACAGGATRATTTTTAAGAAAAAAAATTCCCTAAATCAACAGACTGACCTCTTTCTCTTGTCTGATTTCTCAAAAAAGTCTTTTGACCTCACAATGTAGCATCAACTCTTATCAAACTTATTAATTAGGTCAGCTCATCTTTGAACTCAAGTGGAATACAACTCATTTTCACAAAAAACAAAGGGGTCACACTTTTGTAATAAAAAAAATAATAAATACATTTCCCAGGGTTTTCAGAGTTCTACCATCAGAACATTCAGTCTGAAAAACATAATCAACTCTACTCAATATCTCCTTTTTATCAGTCAGAACAGAGCTGACTTTATTTTTTGTAAATAAGATTTATTTATATTTAAAATCTTCTTAAAGAGTTCTATCACCAGTTTTCCTACGTATGGAAATTGTTGTTATTATTATTCTTGTGCACAGATAAGTTGCCGGTGCACGTGACGTTGGAGACTTTCTTCATCCTCCAGATTCACAAACGTACAAAKAGTGTTTTAGTTTTTAAAAAAGGCTTACAAACTCATGCACAAATACAGTAAATCCCCAATTGTTAATTGTTGGACTGAGGCTAGTCAATGGAAAGACAAGCAGAAACCACTTGGAAATGTTTTAAATTAAATTTATATTTTATTTTTGTAAGAAAAAACAGATTTTTATGTAAATATTATAAATTTAATCATCTGATGTCTCAATTACTTGTAAATTGATGTCAGTTTGGAAAATGTCAGTGTTCAGTTTCAGTGTGGTATTATGTGACACTTGACCTGTGGTCTGTGGTCTTTCTGTATGACTCAGATTCGGACAGGAAGTGATGTCATTTGTAACAAAGAAACACTGAATCAGCACCAGTAAAGATGATTTTGTTGTTTAAATGTAGCAGAGCTCAGGTTTTTACTGGCAGCAGTAAAAGTCTTCTGTAGCATCAGTCCTCAGTGTTTGTTCTCAGACTCATACTTCATAAACTCACAGTAAATGAGACGACTGGTCCAGTATCACTTCATAGATTTCAGTGGTGCAAGATTCTTTGCTACACATTCAGTTCAATAAAAAGTTTTCTAACATCTCAGAGAAACAGTTTCTTCTTTTTCTTCAGCCTAAAAAGACTCTGAGAAGCATCTTTTTATTTTTTACTTAGATTCTGTTTATGCTGAGATCAGCACTATGACCATAAAAACAGAAATACAGGTTGGATGGATGGATGGATGGATGGATGGATGGATGGATGGATGGATGGATGATTGAATGAATGATGGATGGATTCATGAATGGATGGATGGATGGATGGATGGATGTTTAGTTACATAAGAGGGACAAATGCAAATAACAGAAACATCAACATCTTCATTTTTTGCCACTTATCTGTAGTCAGGTCATGGAGGCAGCAGGTCCAGGAGACAAACTCAGACCTTCATCTCTCCAGAGYCACTCCCCAGCTCCACATGGGGGGACCACAAGGTGCTCCCAGGCCAGAGAAGAGGCACACCCTTTTTCTCCTGGAACGTCTCTAAAGGGAGGCATCCTAATCAGATGAACCACCTCAACGGATACACGTTGGAGGGTGTGGAGGAGCGGRAGCTCTACTCCAAGCTCCTCWCCTAATCTTTAAGGCTGAGCAAGAGCTTTGCCTTAAGCCTCAGCTCTTTCAGCTTCGCCTGGAAAAGGGAAACTGGATCACCTCCCTGGAACCAGGCCTTATATTGCACATTTAAGAACAACTGTCATGAGCCACACAAGAGCAACACARCTCATTAATAGACAAAAAAATACTGTAATAAGCATGCAAGACAAAATAAATCAAAAAGTTAAATATAAAGTCCTATGGATGGGTTCTTCTTTAATAAATGAAACATTTCATCTCACCTCCAAGAGACTTCTTCCGTCCGAGGAGTTTAAGGTAAACTCAGCCTTATAAGCACTGCCTCCACATGGTGGACAAACAGGTTGTTCACAGGCAAAAGAGGACCATCAGCCAAACAATAGGTCACTAAAACCATCCACCATTAAACAGAGGTGGAGGCCTTTGTGTCCAGTTGTSCRCCTCCTACAATGCTGTTATTGCAAGTATGACTCAGCCCCCTGTGAGCAAAAGGTGTGAATCAGGGCCCCAATGATAGTCAGGTGATTGGGCACATGACCCTGTATGAACAACAGAGTTAATCAAGGCACTAATGATCTATTGTTTGGCTGATGGTCCTCTGTTGCATGTGACTAACCWGTTTGTCCACCACATGGAGTCAGTGCTTATAAGGCTGAGTTCACCTGAAACTCCTCAGARTGAAGAAGTCTCTTGGAGGAGAGACGAAAGGTTTWWTWAAYYAKC